TCACTGTCATCGTGATTGGCACTAAATATGCTGAAAATTTCAAGTCGCTAACTTGACGGAAAGTCAGTTTAAAATCGATTGGAAATTTCCGCGATTTGCGCGGGATGACCAAGTTAAATAAAAGCTTATAAAAAATCGAGAGTCGACGGGGGAAAGTCGACTTCAATCGACTTCCATAACCTGAAACCCATTAAAAGTCGACTTTTAGGAGTAAAAAGTCGATTTTGGTCGAAAGTCGCACTGGTTGCCTTCTCTAATGTATTCCCCTTGCTGAATTAGAGCAAACTTTGAAATGGCAGAGGAAATTGACGAAAGTGGCTTCTATCGCCAGGATTTCAGCGCAGCCTCGGATTGGGAGATATTCATTGCACGACTTGGTGAAATTTTTCATAAACTTACCGACAAAAATTCTGATGATTGTGTGAACAATGTGTTTCGTTGTGATTGGGAAGTGCAGACGGAGACGCTTATTTTTCTTAAAGAGAAAATATCGATTAGTTATTATACTACCAGCAAAGAAGAGGCAAAGAAGAATTTTGCAAGAAACGGAACAAATAGTTCAATATATAATGACCTAATGGCAGCTGAAAGCACATTCGGACCATCGCTAATATCCAAAAATTCCAAAAGTGCGCATGCGATCTCTTTCCTGTATGGGTTGCATAGTTTTGTGTTGATCCATCTACATCAATCACACAAGCAATTGTTATCAAATCCATTCAGCTTTTTCTTAAGTGCCGCAGCGATCGTGTCGGCAGAATATTGTCCAATGATCCCTATCTTTGTGCAAATCCACGATACAAAATTAAGTATATTTCTCGGAATAGGAATGCACTTAACGCAACGTACTAATTTTGATGTAGTGTCTTAAACAGTCACCGATTGAATGTCGATACCTATCTGGTTTGCTGTCGTTCCAGCGAATTGTGTGTATCCGATCACTGTATGCGTGCGAAACACTTACGCTCTAAAACCAGTACGTAAACAAATTTCAATGAGCTTACCATTATATGAATCTTCCTGTGAAAATAATGAATTTTTAAATATCAAGAAATTTATTGCACTTCCATGCGGATATTTCCCCGATGCGTGTACTCAAGTATACCTTGGTTACGATTGGTTGGAGGTTCCTGAAAGCGGTGCTATAGATTCACCGCTGCATTCTGACTTTGTTCCGTCGAAGTCGCACAACTGTATTATACATCTTATTTGTCAAACTGCTTACGGCAGTATTTAAAAGTACATTCTGATAAAGGTACCTTAGAAACCTACATAGGACAGAGTTTAACGGAATATCCAAGCGGTTCAGAAAAGTCACTGCCACACATAACAGATCCACATCTTCGACGTTTTCGTTTAAGCCATCTGCCTGAAGATTCAAATTTTCTAAAGGGTTCTAATAATATAGCTGGCCCGCTTAATGAAAATGACTTAAGACATTTCTTGGCGTACTTATTTCCCGATTTATATCCTGATGTTGCTAAATATAGCTTTTCGAATGATCCAAAGGAGATGAAAGAAGTACAAATAATTAATTTAAAAAATATATTTTTTTCAGTAATAAAATACTTATGTACATTTGCATCATGTGTATATTTGTAGTATGACATGCATCGAATAAAATCAGCAATGATGGATTCTTTGTATTGGCGCCTTAGTTGCCTACTAGCTACCTGCAACGCACATTATGGAGGTAAAAGCGGACTTGCCCAGCTATGGGCAGCATTCACCAGGGAACTTCGATTTATATGGGATACCAGATTATCTATACAAGGGTGAGTAGGTGTAAACTATATATAACCGATGCCTGCAAAACACCTACCTTAAATTAAAAAGTTTAACAAAAGAGGGGAAAAACGTTTTTTTTTAAGGCATTGCCTTGGCGTTATTTTCTCTTGCTATTATTTTACAAATCTGTGGTTTTAGTCACATAACGGTGATTTAGGCCGAGGCCACGCAAAGAGCGGCAAAGCTAAAGAAGCGGCTTAATTAAAACATTCTATTGAAGTGGCCATGCTCTGAGCGGCTGAGCGAGATTTTTGTATGGCGCCGTTCAGCCGCTCAGCCGCTTGCCGCTTTGCCGCTCATTACGTGGCCTCGAACTTGGGCGGTTTTGCAACTGGTCTATGGGCGGTTTTGCGAAGGTATCGTAAATGAAGAAAAAAAGAGTCGATCAGCGATAGAAAATGAGTTCGCGACTTGCCATTATTGACCCCTTCGGAAGCAGCCGGCACCTTAAGCACAATTGATTGATTTCGGCACTGTTTTACGTAACTCATTAAAATAATATACAGTATAGGACATATCTATAGCACCCCCTTCTCAAATTGATATTGTTTGGCACTTAAACATGTTTAATTATTAATTATTAATTTTTAAGAATTTTCATTTAAACTACAGTTCATTCTCTAACAAAACTGATTCAATAATAGTAAGGTTTTGTAATAAAACAGTATTCTCGCTTCCACACATAAAATCGGCTCATTTACTTGTGCAGAATGTTGCTTACTCTACAGTTTCTAATGATATTAGTAGTAAAACCAAAAATTCTTCATACTAAATATTCGTGAGCATCACCTTCGTTTGCGTAATTTTCTAGAACAAGTGTAGAATAGCGACCGTTTAGCTATAAAATAACCAAAAATACCGATTGATAGAACTTTTTACGCTGATTTGAACGATACCAAATTTATTCGGCGCAGGTAATAAATAAAGAAGATATAAGTAGATAGTGACAAAATATGTAATATCGAATTAAAGGTAATAACTTGTACTTTCTAAATAATATTAATTTCTTTACCATTAATTATGCAGTTTTTTCAAAAAAGGTTATTTCATGAAAAATAACATTTGTTCGTTTTTTAGTGTTTTTGGTTTAAAAATACAAAAAGCTATAAATTATGTGCATCAGCTGAAAGACAAATCAATTATCTTGGTTGTGACGTCATTAAATTTTTAATCGGTTAAATAGTTCATAAGATATTAATATTTAAAAAATCTAAAAACTGAATTTTAACCTTCTAGAACGTCTTCATTTTTCACTTTCGCCAAATAATTTTGGCACGGTTGAAATGAACATAAAAAGTTCTATTGATCTGCATTTTTCATTTTTGTATAGCTGAACGGTCGGTATTCTAGATTTCTTCCAGCAAATGACGAATAACTGAAATCAAAAATGCATATTTTTGTGTATTGTTTAGATTTCCATTATAACACCAAATATATTGCAAATTCGCATAGAATTAATAATACACCTTTACTTCTTATTGTACACTTCTTTACTTCTTATTGTATACTTTGCGTACTTTTTGTAGTACCTTTCTACTACCGTTTTCGCCAAAGGCGATCACATTCTCCCCTTTCTCCTACTTCCAAAATACAAATCTAGATAAAGGAGTGTCAAATTTTAGCTGTCACAAATTACACAACCTTGTTTTATTGAATCATGATAGTAACCCAAGTTTAAAACTTTCTAAAAAACTACAAAATAATGCAAAAAGTTTTCACCCAAATTTCAAAGGGTTTTCTCAGAAGTGTTAAAACTTTTTCGAGGCCACAATTTTATAGCCCATTCAATTTTAGTCTTATAATGTGCAACTTTCAAGTGCACCGTTTCAATTACCGTTGATTTGTTTAGAATATATTTTGTCGCATTTGCTTCCATATACGAAAAAACACAATTTATTTTTATATGGAAGAAACCCGCAAAAACTTCGGCGAAAAAATTCTAAAAAATCATCCGTAATTTTTAGCCACTTGAATACTTCATTATTAGACTAAAATTGAATGGGTTATAAAACGGTGTACTCAAAAAAATTCTAGCACTTCTGAGAAAAAAGTTTGCAATTTGGCTGAAAATTTGTTGCATTTTTTGTAGTCTTTTAAAAGGTTTAAAACTTGGGTTTATGTGAGTTTTGTTTGAGAATGAACTGTATTTTAATTGAAATTTCTAAAAATAAGTAAGTAAACATGAGTGGCAAACAATATCACTTTGAAATAGGGGTGCTACTGTATTGGCCAATACTGTGGGTATATTTCTTTCGAATCCGCATTCAAAAATATTTTTTTTTTTACTTTTTATCGTATGTGCTTAAACTGATATACATATTCATATGACATAACATAGTGTAGCTGTTGCCGACGACAAGTCACATAAGCGTTTGTTGTCATACGTTTACGCTATTTACGATATTTTCTATTTCAATGACACTACGGAACGTCTCCAACCTCCTTGCCTCCTCTTTGAAAACTTTGTGCAGGATTCGCTTAGTGCATTATATGAGGCGTTCCCAACAACCTCCACTGCTGAGATCTGCAGGGCAGTTAAACACCCAATCGATATGCTGTTTGGACATTTCGCTTCCGATGACGGTGGAATCGAACATTCGGTCAGCTTCTTTCATCTCCTTCTGGGCACCGATGAAATTGGTTTCAGGTTTTACAGGTTTTCTGATAGCTCGAGATGGACTGCTGAACAATGCGATCCACCGTTTTCCGTTCTGCGACCGATGGTAACGTGAAATGGGCCGCAGTAGTCTACTCCGCTGTACGTAAAAGGTCGAACGTATGGTGTTAGTCGATCCAGCGGCAACTGACCCATCAACTTTACAGCGGGCTTAGCTCTGTCGTGTATGCAGACAGGGCACTGCTTTTTGACGGTCCTCAAGACGTTGCGTATGGCGGGAACCCAAAACCGTTGGCGTACCTCATTCATTGTAAGGTTGTCGTTTTGGTGGTGTCTCTTTTGGTGCTGCGTGGCTACTACTAAACTCTAATGAAAATTACTAACAATTTGTACTAATTTACTTCGTTTTTAAAAAAGCTTGTCGCGCGAATAGCAAACCTGAATTTAAATATCTGCATACATAAATATACATACATACCTAACCAATTATGCGTGTACGCTGAATTCGCCGAAAAA